CGGGCGCGGGACCCCGGCCGGGGCCGCCCCCTCCCCCGCGGAGCGCGGAGCGGGGCCCGCCGCCGCCCGCCGTGGATTTCGGGGACCCGCGCGAGGCGTTCCGCAGCAAGAGCAACGCGGAGCTGCTGCGGGGGCTAGTGGTGCTAGGGCTGTGCGCCGTGGAGCCGCTGGTGCAGCACAACCGGGAGGTGGGTGGAGGAAGGGATCTGGCTTGGGGGGCTGCTCCGGAGCGGGGCTTGTCCCCGGCCCTGGGCCGGCGGGGCTCTCGCTCAGGGACGCCCGCTCCGGGAGGTGCCAGCCTCCTTCTGGAGGGGGTTCTTGCTCCGGGAAGTTCAATTTTGGGACTGCGAGCCCCAGCATGGGCAGCGCCCCTTCCGGACGTGTCGGTGCGGGATGGGGATTCTGTCGCTCCGGGGGTGAATGCCCCGAACGGGAACATCTTTCGTTCCGGGAGAGTGCCTGTTTTGCAGGATGTTGGTGCGTGCCAGGGATACTCTCACTCCGGGAGGTGCCGGTCCTGGGCTGGGGGCGCTCTCACCCTAGGGGTGCCCATTTCGGGACTTGTCATTCCCCTTCCAGGGGGACCCTCGGTCTGAGGGTGCGGGTGTTGGAGAGCTCTCGGACCCGAGCCGGCGGCAGCCCGTTTTGAGGAATGCCAGTCCTGGGTCGTGGGGACTTCTCCTACGGGAGTGCCCGTGCGGGACGTGCGGGTGCTGAGCCGCCGCTGTCCCGCAGCTGCTGCAGTTGTGCCAGCGATTGCTGGGGCAGACGCTGTTCGAGCGGCTGATGAAGATGACGTTCTACGGGCAGTTCGTGGCCGGGGAGGACCAGGAGGCCATCAAGCCGCTGCTCCGGCGGAACCAGGCCTTCGGCGTGGGCGCCGTGCTGGATTACAGCGTGGAGGAGGACCTGGGCGACGGGCGGTGAGTGCGGGGCTGGGGCGGGGAGGGGGCGGGCCCTGGCCGCGCTGCCATTGGCTGCGCCCGCCCAGCCCCCCGCTCCCATTGGCTGCTGGGCCGTGCGTCACGGCCTCGCCCCCCGTGGCACCGCCCATTCCGCACACGGGGGTGACAGTGCCCCGCACAGGGGGGCACAATGGCCGCACTCGGGGGTGGCAGTGCCCACAGCACAGGGACGGCAGTGCCCCACAGGCGGGGGTGACAGTGGCCAGAACACAGGGATGGCAGTGACCCGCACATGGCGGTGCCTGTGTCCTGCACACTGGGGTGCTGAGCCCCCACTGGGCCGTATCGCTCCCCCCGCCCCTCTTCACATAGCGGGTGCTGCCCCCCTGTCTGCTGCACACCTCTGTCCCCATCTATTCCCTTGCACACACCGGAGTGCACCCGTCCCCGGCGGTGCTGTACACCTCGAACCCTCCTGCACACCCTGAGGGGGTTCCCACCTCTATTTTCCATCTCCTATGGGATGTTAACCACCCCCCCCCCCCGTCCATTCCATCTTCCCCTGAAGTCCCCCTTCCCCCTCCCCGCCATCGGGATGCTGACCCCCATTCCTGCCCCCGCCATTCCCCACCATACAAATGCTGCTTCACACATTTTGGTGGAGTCAATGATCTTGGAGCTCTTTTGCAATCTTAACAATTCCATGATTTTATTATTTCCACCCTCCACCATTTCCATCTCTCTCAAGCTGGGGTAGTGCCCCCCTTCCCGCACTGCTCCGCAGTCCCAGGCAGTCTTCACTGCCTCCCGCCCTCTGCCAAAAGCTGGCACCAGCCCAAAGCTGCCTGTAACTTTCCATTATTCGGGCTCCAGTTCCGGTCAGTTGCACTCTCCGGATCGATGGGCCGCTGGCCGTCACCCCGCGGTCACGGGGGTGGGCGGTGTCCCCCCACCCACAGCAAGGGTGGCCCTACCGGAGGACACTGCGCCGTTCCCCGGGCAAGGCTGCACGGCGGCAGTCGCTGCTGGCAGCTGGGGACACCGTCCGGCTGTCATATGCTTGTCCCGTGCTGTCAAAAACACAGCGGGAACGGCTTTTTAGGGTGGTTTGCGAGCAGAATGTGAGTCAGGCAGGTGGTGCCGCTGCGCGCCTTATCTCTGGTCCACGCCCGGGAACTGCTTATCGGGGATCCCCATGTGCCACTGCCCTCGCTGCTGCTGCTGCTGCCGCTGTCACACATCCCCAGGAGTGAAGCGTCTGTGGGTCCATGGTGGGAGCACACGCTGCTGAGGGGGGAGGCAGGGCTGCACCATCCCAGAGCGGGCAGGAAACTTTGGGGTTTTTCTAGAAAAGCTTCAAAACACCGCGCTGCTGCCAGGCAGGAGGGTGGCTGTTTTGAAGGTATGTGGCTGTTTTTGAAGGTCAGCTGTTGCTCCCCTGGACATCCAGCCATGGTCTGGGCAGTGTTCAGCATTCCCGTGGGGCTGAGCCAGCAGCACTGGTGCCGCCAGGCTGTCACTGCTGCCCTCCACGCCTGGCTGTGCCTGGGCCAAGGGCTATGGTGTGGGGGACCGCAGGAGACTTTCAGACAGGCTCTGCCTGCAACTGTATCCCTCCTGCTGATGGGTGCCGGTGGTTTGTGAGCTGGCTGGGCTGTGCTGCTCCCCGCCACTGCAGATTTGGGGTTTGCACATGTGGTACTGCTGGCTAGGTGAGTTCTCCCTGTGCTGTGTGGGCCATTCACATCTAAGAGACTTCCCAAGCCATCCCTGCCCAAGCCCCAGTGGGATTTGTCTGGATATCAGAAAATGGGTCTTCACCCAGAGGATGGTTGGGCACTGAACAGGCTCTCCAGGGAGTGGTCATGGTCCCAAGGCTGCCATTCAAGGAGTGTTTGGATAATCAGGCACGGGGTGAGACTGTTGTCCTCTGCAGAGCTAGGAGTGGAACTTGATGTCCTCATTCATCCCTTCCACCTCAGGATGTTCTATAATTCTCTGAACAAGGACTGAGCCCAGAATGGGCCTGGATGTGTTATGCTGAATGGTGTCCCTTGCCAGCCACCACTCTTGGTCCTCCCTGGCTCTGTTTGGGGTAAAATCCCAAATTCTCAGTGCTTCTGCCAGGCTGGTGCTGAGTTGGGCTGCACGTGGTTGAGAGAGGTGGGCAGTCCTGCGTTCCTGGCTGCTGTGTCCTTCCCCTTGGTGAATGCTTTGGGGTTGTGCTGCTGCCAGCCAGGAAGCGGAGCTATAAACCACAGCAGTCAGTGGGTGTTTTGGCCTCTGGGTACCATCTCCTGCTGTTCTTCTGGAGCAAGCTCGACACAATGGCAGGGAAATGCCCTTTCTGCCCCAGCAATGGGCTGTGGCACCTTTTCCACAGCCTTTCCGGCTGGGAACAACAATGCAACATGGGCAAGAACCGGCTTATCCTGCCTGCCACAGGCCCCTGCCTGTCCTGCTCAGGCTGGCATCCAGGACTCTGCCAGCTTGTCCCAGGAGGCCTCAGCCACGTGCTGAAGGCTGCTGCCAGGTCATGGTGACACAGCTGGAAAATAAGTGCTCTCCAGGCAGCAGAGGTCTGGGGGCTTCAGTGTGGCTGCAGCCCTGGGTGGGGGGTGGAGAGGCAGCACTGGGCCGGGGCTCCTGGTACCTGTGGGGTGAAGCAGCGAGCCCCCCTATAGTGAAGGAGGTTGTAGCCTCCTGGCAGCCTTGGGACCATTGCTGGCACACAGGCATCCCAAGTATGCACATGAGTTGGGGTTGTGCTGACACAGGGGAGGGACAATCTTGCCCCTAGCATTGTCAGATGCTCTTCAGGCTCTGCCATGCAGAGTGTGGACTTGGGTTCCTCTAGAAATTCCATGTGTGGATATCTGACACCTGCCCCAGTGTAGGATCACTGTCCCCAGCCTGGGCAATGCTGCTCCCAGAGCTGCTGCCTCCCCTTCTCTTCCTGTTCCCAGTGCTCATTCCCAGCTGCCACCCCTGTCCTGTGCTTTGTCAGCATGTTCCCTGGGATCATGGGCCAGCTTCTGTTTAGCTTCAAGCTCTCCAAGGCCTGTGGTGGTCCTGGGCTGGTGTGTGCTGACAACTCCTGCACGGAGCAGGTTGAAGGTGTATTCTGCCAAGAGCTCTGCTTTATTCCTACCCATGGGATTTTAAGCACCACCCATAGCTCCAAAATGGACTTCATGTAACTATGAGTCTTTTCCTTGGATGTAGTAATTCAAGGACAGCTTTTCCCTGATCCCTCATCCCCTTTGCCAGACCCATTTGTTGATGAGCAAAGCACACATGCTGTGCTGCCGGCACCCTCCGGGTAACCTGTGGGGCCAAAGGGATTATTTCCAACAGCAGGACCTTTGTGCTGCTCCTGAGCTGGTTTACTTGGCCTGATCCAAAACTTCCTGAAAGCCCCATCTGCTGTGTCAGCTGCATTACCCTTCCCAGCCATCCTGCAAGTCCTCACAACCTGCTTTAGGCAAGTGTGATCTCCCAGGCCCTGAGCTCAACTCTGAGGCTGTTCCTGTCTGGATACAGCCTGCCAGGAGCGTCTGGACAGTGCCTGGAGATGGGATGTGCTCTGGGAGACTTGTGGGTTTGTAGAAGGGATGGTCAGATATAAGCTGGGTTCAGTGGCACTTGGTGGGTGAGGGAATGGCTTTTCTGGCCAAGATTAATATTGCAAAGTGAACAGCTGATATCTAGGACAAAGTTATTTCTTCAGCTGGAAGCATCTTCCTTTATTTTGCTTGATTCAGAAAAACAAAGCGAGCACCGTGGCACTGCTTTGAATGCCCTCTAGAGGATGAAGGAACAGCTGGTGCAGTCATGCAGCAGAAATGCTGCTGGGAAGGGTGTGTTTATCTTCAGGAACATAAAACACTCTTAACTCCAAGGGCGCTGTTTGCTGTTTGCCTTCACTCCAGCCACTTGTCCCCAGTACCTTGGATGTGGTGCCCAGGGTGTGCTCAGAGCTGTCCCCTGCCCACAGGACCCATGTGTGCCCTCATGTCACAGCAGTATTCAGCTGAAGCTGTCCCCTGTGCCA